TTCACTCTTTTTTTATTCTGACACACACACACACACACACACACACACACACACACACACACACACACACACTTCATGCACTTGTGGACATGCAACAGGGAGAGAGATGGTGGAGTGATGGGCTGCCATGTTAGCGACGCCCATGAGCAGTTTCTTGGGGTTAGGTTGCCTTGCTCAAGGGCGCCTCGGCACAGGAGGTGAAACTGGCACCTCTCCAGCCACCAGTCCACACTCCATATTTTGTGGTCTGTGGGACTTGAACCTGTAAATTAGTTGAGCTCTCACCGTAAATAGCCTGTACTCCCCGTCTGTCATCATCTGGTAGCGCATATCCCTCTGTGGTCACATACTGGTAGGTGGGGTACATCAGGGCTGTCTGGACCTGAGAGTGGGCTAATCCCAGTGCATGGCCAAACTCATGGGCTGCCACCAAGAACAGGTTTGTTCCTGCAGATACACACTGATAAAGTTACTGTGGGGGTGTGTGTTTTCAGTGTTATATCACCTCAATAATAATGTTTCCTTAATGTGAGCACCTGCTGAGGTTAGAGTCCAGATTTCATCTTCATCAAAATGGGTATCACCTCCGTTGCCTTCTCCAGGGGAGAATGCATGGGCCAAGACGCCACTTCTGCCATCGAATGGAGAAAAATCTCCATGGTCTGGTTTTGAGGGGAGAGTACAGTTAGCACTAGATCAAACATTTCCTCAAAAGCACTTAAAGTACTGTATTACCTCTGGCCTTGAACATGATCATAATGTCAGCAGTGCCGCTGTCGATCTGCCTAAAATCCAGAGGAATGACGTCACTGTAGAGTTTCAGAGCCTTGGCTAAGGTGGCGTCCACATCACTCTGACTCAAATCTGGTGTGTAGTTAGTTATCCTACAGCAGAGTGAGAATGAAAATGGTTCACAAAATCTCAGAGGAGCTTTATCATAAGCCTATAGGCAGAAATGGAATGGTATGTTTTCATTAGTGAATAATCACCTGAATTTGTATAAGGTTTTTGTATTGTCTGTATAAGGGCGTCGCACTCTGCCAGGTGAGCTTCTGTGCGGCCTGCCTTTCTGTTTTTTTTGCAAGTTTCATGGCCAATTTCTCCTCCTACGCACTTGAAATGAGAGGGTGTGGCGAGAAGGTTGTAATCTGCAACTACACCGCTAGATGCCACTAAATGCTACACACTGGACCTTTAACTAACTGGTAGGGGCTGCAAGTGATCAAAAACTGCTTCACTGTTGAATCTTTTTTCTAGTTGTACTTTATGGGTGAACTACTTGCAGAGACTTGTTGTTGCTCTTTGTTCTCACGTAGAGATCTAGTGTAGTACCTGTATGTGACCACAGACTTGCCCCACTTTGGTCGACCATCAAAATGGCCATATCTGGCCACATCTGTGAAACCACAGCGGGGTCGAGCCATCACTTCCAGGGTGTTGGAGTCCAACTGCCCAGTCACCTCCAGGCCAAAATACTCCTGCATTTTTCTGAGAGTGTCTTCAAAGGGATCTAGAGAGCTGCGCCAGATACTGTTGGGGGCACTGACACCCACATCAGAAAAAAACTGAGACAGATAGTCCTGCACAGAGAAAACAGGAATACAAAATTCTCTTAATACAGATAAAATTCCATATATGATTAATCTGACTGATTAGATGGTTTTATGGATTAATGGTCAGCATTCATTCTGCAATAGCCATACAGATTATTTACATTGTGTATGGTCATTTTCATTGTGAGTGGTGAGGTCTGCCATTCCTGCACTGGATCCAGTACACTGCATGCACGTAATTCAAGTATTTAAGTATTTGTAATTTTATCTTATTGATATCAGCCCCACTATTGCTCTTTACTCTCCTAAATCTGTATCAGAGCTGTATTGGGGGGTGGCTATTATTATCAAGTGTTTAGTATTAACAATGATCGTTCATTAAAAATGCTCCTACAAAATGGGAGTATTGGGTCATTTTGTTTTACAGTTGATCAATGTTAGGGTGTAATAGAACAGTTGGGAGAAGTGACAGCATATCTGAAAATACACATTGTGTATGTGCTTAAAGAAAACACCATGTTTATTGAAAACTCCACATAGAAATGCCCTGCACTGAAATCGACAAGGCTTGTTTGCTAGTTCAAATTGTTCAGCATGATAAACATTTTTGTTAACTTTCTACAAACAAACCCACATTAATTATTTAAAAATCCTCTGCACCAAAAAGGTGAGCCAAAGCGTCTGGTATAATGTGCAATGTAAAAAAATATGGATCTTACAGAATAAGAAAAACTGACTGCTGGGTTAGGGTTAGAGTGGTTAAATAACACCAACAAACAGTGCAATATTTGAACATAGAGAACACCACATGTTTACCTGGGCTTTAGACAGGTCTTCTTGGCTGGGTGAAGTGGCGGGCACAGCTCCACAGTGTGCTGCAATCACAAATATTATCACAGTTTTAACAGCAAGCACACCTTCCATGATTCCCTTTCCTACGCCAGAGACAGTGAGACAGAGATAACTCCAGGCTCTGCTGAGATGTAGAGTTGCAATGCATGAGTTGAAGATTTTCCTGAAATAGTCAATGTCAGTGTTTTGGTTGTGAGGTAAAAGATGCATGATGTGGCAATACAACATTCTTGCAAGTGTCCTAACAGGCCCAATTAGAACAACAAGAGAAATAATAGGTGTAGTGAAGAGAGAGGGAATTGGGGGAGGAAGAGGTAGCTTGGGCCTGCTTAAACATGAAATGAACAGAAATAGTCCAACATGAACCATCAGAACAACAGTGAACATTAAGCCCTTTTTGTGTTTTCCTGAGTTTTATAAAGGTGTTGGTAGCTTACCTCTGTTACATTTTGGATCATCACCTGTATTATAGCTATAGATTTCTTATTATTTACAAAAATGTAATTGAGGACATTACATTTTTTTCTTTGAGTGAGTTTATTCCTTTAAGTTGCTTTTAACTTATTTGGAATTACCTGATTAAGAGTCTTAATAAAGATTTGAGGAGCAAAACTCAGGCACGCTTTCTCTGAATTTTTATATATACTTGGGGCAGCTATGAAAAAATGTAGGTCCTCTATAACCCTATATTGTATGGTATCATATGGCATCGCATCGTATCATGTTGTATTGTATGGTATCGCATCATATGGTATGGTGTCGTATTGCATGGTATCGTGTCATATTGCATAGTATGGTATAGTATCTTATTGTATCGTATTATAGGCTAAATCTGTCGCTGTAATCAAATGTCAAACTGTGTAGACACCAACAGCTTCTAACAGGCTGAGAGCCACAGTCTAATTATTAGCTTTGATTGTCTTGCTAACCAAAAGTGACTTGCATTATTAGACCACTTTTCTTTTAGAGGACGCATTAGAAGCCTTAATAAGCTTCCTCTTGTTTTGTGTGACCCTGTCTGTTTGGAAGCACCTTTCCCCCCAAAGTATTTGCCATTCACAAATGAATAATGAAACCAGGAAGCATAGTTATAGTCTTTTCAGACATTAATGACTGCACTTGTATCTGTCAGAGATGCCAAAACCAAGCTGAATTCAGTTTCCAGTTAAATATTTTAAAACTACAAGATGTTATATGCTCCCATGCTATTATTATTAGGTTTTTTACAGCATTAAGGACTGCCTTCATATGGTGACTCCTAAAACACATAAAAGAGTGAAACACATTCTCCAAATAAGGGTGGAAATGGATGGATGAGACATGAGTGACTACTGAACAGGAATGCCATGAAAATTTGCTGAATTTCTTGATTTGAAGTATATCTTCTATTCTTTTTTTGTCTATTTTCCCAATTGTGATGTGATGTGGCTGTCATACAAGGTGCCACTATATTCACTCACAATAAATGTACTCTTCGTTGATGAACAACAGGACAAATCTTTCACAGACTGGTAATGCATTTATTAAGAAGACCTTTGTTAACCCTGCTTTTATTGTCCAATTATATATCAAGTTAGTTTCATTCATATTGTTTATTCATGATTCACTTATTTGTAAAATAAATGAATAAATAAAAACTTCCTTACACAAATCTCCAAGCTTTCCAGAACATCGTATCATTAGATTGCAGATGTAAAGAACAGCAGTAATAATAATAATAATAAAATGACCAGTAATAATTGGTCATGCAAGGACAGCATCTTGAAGATGTTTTATTATAATCAGAGGCATCATCAGATTTAACTTTTTACTAAATATCCAAATTTCCTTCCAAATTCATACCCAGCATCAATACATACACATACATATGACAGACATGTAGACTATAAAAATTGCATTTTAAAAAATATATAATTTTATATATTTTATATATTTAATATAATAACATTTTGAAAACATAATATTTAGAATCAGAACACATATTTAAAATGTACTATTTTAACACTGCTAGTGTACATTCATTCTTATTCAGAGTGGCTACATAAACAACTTAGCTAGTAAACTGGTCTAGAAGTTAGTGCATTGCAATAAGTAGCTGGTTCTCAGCACACGAAGCAAACTTCCAGTCCTCAGGTTGTACTTCAACATGTGCTGTCCTCTGTTGATGTAAGTATAACCTGCAGAACAGAGGCTTACTGTTAGTTTGTGTGCTAAATTTAAGAAAGCTCAGCAGGAAATAATAGATAGCCTGGCTCTTACAAATGGTAACAAAATCTGTCTGATATCACCTATACAGCTTGTTAATTAACATGTTACATTCAGTAATTTCCAATTACCAGTTGAGAAGCCAGGAAGGAAGATATCTTCTTATGTTACTCTTGGCAAGAAAGCTAATAAGAGCATTTCCTAAAATGTCACTTTTATTTTACAGGCTAAAAAGATTGGAGGATTTATTCATTTTTCAGAAGTAATCTTGGCTTGGAAAGGTCAGCTTTGAATGTTACCCACCTTTGTACTGGAAAGCTGCAGTCACCTTGCTGGTCAGGCCGGTGAAGGTCTCATCAGACCGCTTGGGGAATCCCTGGTCCATGGTCTTTTTGGCCTCATCATAACTGAAGAAAACACAGACAGTAATTAGACTAATTCACCATCCTGTAAGCCACCATCTCACCCAGAACAAAATTCATTTTACATTACGTCGTTTGAACACACCTGTAGTAAGAGCTGCCTACGAAGAACAGAGTCTTGCCAGATTCCACATCATAGAGGGCAGCATCGATTTTACTAACACTTTCTGGCAGACCAAAGCTGGAAATTGATTTAGGATAGCCACGTACAAGATCATAACCACTGAAAGCCCACACTCTGCGACCTACATTGAGATAAAAAGACTTTTTAGTATATGCGTAGGTAAATCTTGAAAACAGTGTCAAATTAGGAGCTTTAGGGAGATACAGAGAACAAATACAGTACCTTTAAAGAGTAAGATATTGTCTGAGTATTGGCTTTCATAAGCAGCGTCAATGTTGATGGGGGCATTAGGCCAGAAGTTTGTGATGAGACTCTGCTGAGGCGTCGTGCTCTGAGGGTAGCTACGCCAGAAGAAGCTGAGAACACACAAGAAGAGAAATTAGTAAGCTCTTAATGGATGTCAGTATTCAGATATTTGAGCTTTCCACTGTGTGTCTACAATACCTGTCCTTGAAGAAGATCATTTCTCCTCGCAGGGTGCTGACGGCGTCCAAGACCAAGGCTGAATCACAGGAATTGGGGGTGGTAGGGGGCTCAGGTCCAGGCTGGACAGGATCCTTGTCAGGGTTTGGACCTGGAGGTTAAATACAATCAGCATCTCCTTGCAACAAAGTTGTGTGACATTATCAAATATTGTGCAGGAGTTTTTCAGGAATTTGCATCAATTATCCAGTCAGTTAGTACTAACCATAGAGAGACTGGATGCCATTGACATCATCCCGGGGCAGAACGAAAGTGTCAGGGTTACTGTATGTGTACACAGGGTACATGAGAGCACCAGGATCATTAGAGTGAGACAAGCCCAGGGAGTGGCCAAACTCATGGGCAGCCACCATGAAGAGAACATAGCCTACAGCAGAAAAATACAGAAGGACAGGTCAGTTACAGCTCCTCTCAATGATGAAAATCAGAAATATCAGACACATTAGTAAGTAAAATGATGAACATAAATGACAAAACTGACCGGTATTTGAGCGGAAAGTGAAGGTCTCATCCTCGTCAAAATGAGCATCTCCTCCAAGGCCAGGGGCTGGGGCGAAGGCATGGGCGAGAATGCCATCAGGGCCATCAAAGGGGTAAAAATCACCATGTGCTGTTAATGAAAAAACATATTCATGTCAGGTGTGAAAAAAGTTAATGATGTACTTTTAATGTTGTTTTCACACTGAATCTTTGTAAAAAACCAACAAATCAGACCTGAGTATCCCAAATACATTGTACTGCCATTTGTACTTCACAAACTTAGGCTATGATTCACTGAATCAGCTGTACGGGTAGTCAACAGAAAATGCATGTTACCACTAATAACTAACTTTAGGGAGAGTAATACAACTGGAATCACATTTGCTTCCGAAGGAGATCATGATGTCAGCGGTGCCACTGTAGATTCTAGTGAAATCTCAGAGGGGTGACATCGGCCCAAACCTGCAGAGCTTTCTCTATGGAGTCATCCACCTTCTGATGTAGACATGTCAGGCGTGTAGTTCTCTATCCTGTAGGACAGAAACATTATTTAAATAAGAACTACTATACATACCATGCTGCAGTAAGGTTCTCACGCATTTTCTCTTCAGATCATTAACCTACATGTAGGTGAGGCTGTTTTTCTCCCATTTGGGGTTATTCCAAATGTGGAGAAACTGGCAACATTGGTGTCTGGAAACACCAAAGCGGGGCTTCTTCATCTTCTCCCTTGTTCGCAAGGTCAGCTGTCAGTGTCCCGGTGATCTTGAGACCAAAGAATCTCTGCATCTCACTCAGCTTCTTGCTCACCGGGCTGATCCCCCGTCTGATAGTTGGGCCGGTCTCCTCTGTTAGGTTGAAGAAATTCTTCAGGTAGCTCTGCAAAAGAGAACAAGAGTAGTAGCAGTTAAGATGTTTACAGCAACATTAACAGATTTTTTCCCCTGTTTATAACATTGACAATTCCTAGAAAATCCAAGTGTCCACATGCACTTTGATGCAAAATAGTGAGAATGCATAAAAAAGAAAGCAGGCACATACCTCTGCAAAATATTCATCTTCCACAGTAACCTCCTGCGGTATTGGCACGCAGTAAGCTGCGACTGCCAGGCACAGTAGAATCAAAGTCTTCATGTTTCGTTGAATGTGTTTCTGTACTGAAGACATGCTGTTATATACGCTAAGGACAGGGCGTGTTGAGCAATAACTCCTTGAATCAGTGACTCAATATTCCTTTTATGGATAAGAGAGGAAGTCTGGCTCTGATTGCTCATCAAAAAAAAAAACTTTCCCAAAACAAGACACTGTAATAATGACGTGACACATTTAGGATTGCTACACGTACTATGCATGGGAAAGTTTTTATCAAATAAAACAATCTCATGAATCTGCCATAAAACGTAAGTACTTATTTTTTGCATTTTACTTGCAGATTTAATTTGAGTCTTTTCATTTTTTTTTAGCATAGTTTGAATTTCTCATTAAATAAAAGTTAATATAAAATATTGCTAGTTGGGGAAAAAAATCACAAAAAATAAATATGTATGACCATATAAGGAACAAACATTTATAAACTAAAATGTTGTATCTGCATCAAGATCTGTAAAAAAAAAAAAAATACAGAAAACAGACAATAGATTATATAGAACATGCATAGGGTACATGTGTTAGATTACTTTAAAGCTGCAGAAGGTAACTTATAAAAATATTTTTTGTCATCTTGCAAATACTATTAGGAGCACTAGGAAGAGCCAAAGGAACCAGATTTTTTCAGATTGTCTGTCTCATGTACTCATGCCAAAATTCCATCTGCAGAGGAAGCTTGTGTGATATGATTGTAACATCTCCAGAACATCTATGGTGACATTGTTTTTCAACCTTTTAAAAATGATACAAATTGATCAAGATGTATCATCCCCTTGATCTCCACCAACAAAGAGGACCAATAATATCCTTATAACCTTCTTGGCAGAGGTAACATCTGACAATGAACATGTTATATACATATATATTACCTAAATATTGGAATAACATGTAAATGCAGTGATTAGGGTGCCAGTGACTTTCTCTTTCATTCTTAAAGGACCAGAGTGTATGATTGAGCGGCATCTAGAAGTTAAAGATTGCAACTAACTAAACACCACTCGCATTGGTATTTGACAACCTGGGAATGAAAACGGGCTGTGACGTGTATAGAAACTTTGGTGGCTTCCATAACACGAAATGCCCTATTACAGCTAGTGTTTGGTCGGTTGCCGGACTCCATGAAAGGTGGCCCGTGCGTCTGTAGAGAAACACAGCTAATTCTAATGTAACAAAAACACAGCAATTCCTATATTCTGGTGGTCATAGACTAATGAAAACATAGTTATGAATATTATATACATATGCCAATTGATCAATAGAATGTTACACAATGGACCTTTAAAGACATGTATGCATTCTGAGTCATGCATAGGTTTTACAGCAGGGCTTGCCATTTTTTTCCATTTCAGACTTGCTTTTTCTGAGCAAGTCTGTGATCAATCGTCTGACCTTTGATTCATGAACTGTCTCCTCCGGCCCTCACACTGTTGTTGCCTCTGGTAAGATGTTGAATCTTGCAAACAAACAAAGACGTGTTGTATCATGTAATTATTGGAAATTATTTAAAAGTTGTCACAGGTTAGGAATTACTTGTAGTTGCATGGAATAATCAAAATCCTCATTGAGTTAATGAAGGAGATGCATGAGTCAACTGCAGGTGGTCATTTTCCTTCCAGATATTTGTCTATAATAATGTATAATCACCTTACACATCAATCTTAGTGGAAAGCTACATTTTAGTCAGTGTTACATAATAGTGGACACAGAGGAACAGTTATGTCTGGTGTAATTTATTGTCTCAGGTAAATTGATCAACACCACACCAACACCAACAGAAATAATGTGTTGCAATAAAAAAACAACAATAATGTTTTTCTAATCATGAAAAATATAAATATTAACAATTAAAGTTTGGGAACGATAGATCATAGTGTCGTAAAGGTAGAACCATAAAATACATTTTAAATTTTGTGGAGTATCTTTAGAAGAATTGTAGGTAATTATGCATTTAGATAATTCAATTCTTTAAAACACACACACACTCACAAACACACAGACACACACATATTCACCCATCTAGCAGCAACATTTTAATGAAACACGTACGTTTAAAAAAGTGTACTTTGATACAAGGTACAACTGCCATTATTACAACATTGTATTACACACTGAGGTACATTTTTAACCACTTCCCTGGGTTATTCATCGCTTCCCAATTTGGTATTAGGTACACTGTGGTTATTGCACTACAGTTTTGAAACAATTTGTGCATACACACACATAATCAAGCTAAAGTGTGTTCCTTGAATTATCCCCTCTCTGTCAGTATTTCATTGTCGTCCTTCTTCTTGCATTCCAGCAGTTCATTAGCAGGGCTGGTAGAGACGACACGTTTGGAGTTGGAGTCAAATTTGTAGAGGATGTTTCCCTTGAAGAAGTGTACAAATCCTGTTGGGAGTGAAGATTATTTTTATACATTATCTCAGTATCAGGTACTGATGGTGCTACAGTATATGAAACATCGGATTATCATTGTCTGAATACAATAGGCTATGTTAACTTAAATCTTTCTTTTAAGACCTGTCACTGAAAAACCACCTTGAAAAAAAACTCAAGAAATTGTAATTTTTAAGGATTTGGTTTTTTTTACTTTTACAGAGGAGTGTAGGAGCAGCCTCAGCTGGAAACAAACTGGCCTCATGGGTTGCCCGCAGCCAGGGTGAGAAAGGAAGCTGTCTAAGAATATCAATGTGGTACCATGCCCTACCGCAGCCATCAGTGATATCATGAGGTCAGGTGCGTCATCCCCCCCTTCATCCTTTGCCCCACAATAAAGAATATGATGGAACTTTTTTTTTATTCTGTCAGGCTTATAAAATACAAAATGATAAGTAGTTGAATGAGTCGTATGTTTTGTGCCAGTCACAGACTGTTTCAGATAATAAAGTGAGCTGTATGTACTTGAGTGCACAGATATTCAGTAACTAATCATTACCTAAATGATCATTAGTGATAGGATCCCCCACTATGTTTCCTAGTAAACTCATCATTATCACCAAATAGTCTCCATTAGCAATTATTAAGAATTAAAATTTAACATTAACTATTCATCTAGTAATCAAGTTGATAACTTCCCCAATCATTTCTTAATTAATTAAATCATAGCTACATATACAATTGATACACTCAAAAGGGTCCCTTAGAAAACAGTGGGAACCTGGGATCTAAAGATTGTAAGAGCCTCATTGACGTTTGCCGTATTGCTCTCCAATGGTGGCTTTGTTATCTGGTGTTGTGCATGGGGGATATCAATACTTTTTTTCCTTTTTCATTTATTTTTTTAAGTTTTCATTTGCAGCACATAGGTTTCATATGGACTGGCTTTACGTTTTGTCACCTTGTTTCCCAGTGATTTTTTGTACTTTTATTTCTTTTTTTAAATTGTATTTATAAAATCGAAGATGTATCGTAAAATGCAATGGGTTACCAAAAATTTTAGAAGAAACGAAAAGCGAAAAAAGAAACTAATGTAAGCTACCATCCGTAGAAGACGCTGCATCTATCGGCAGTTGGAATTCCCGGCCACTGCCTGCTCTAATGGGTGTCGGTGATCCTCATCATCTTCAGCTGCTCATTGTACCCTAAGATGTCATACAGAAAGAAAGCATGGAAGACGTAGTCTTCTAGTTTTCCTGGCTAATAGGTGGTAAACCACAGGCCTGCGGGCTGATGACACCAGCAAAGTCATCGGCACACCAGGACATTGGTTTGTCAAAACATAAAAACGGAAAAAATGAAGGGGTCCAAGTCAGTCTTATCATATATGAGCCTTCAAGGACTTTATATGATTCTGTATACGCATTACAAACCCTCTGTCCCATAGACCTCAATCAGAAAACCTCCTTCCGCAGCTTAGCTAGCAAAAGGCTAAACAGGACGGACATCTGTGGACACTGTAGGACCTTTAAATACCTCCAACACGTCATGGCCAGTGAGAAGACAGGTAGCGGCCATTTCTGAGTGAAGGCAGCATCTAACCGGATTTTATCTGGAGGGGGAACCCAAGCGGAGAATGTTCTTGGAAAACCCCTCAAGTTTTGAACTGCTGAGATCAGATTGATTTCCCTGAAACAAAAAAACTACTGTCATGCAGATACAGAAATACCTGTTTTTTCAAAGTCAATTAAAATTTATGATATCTTTTAGATGTACTTTATTTTTTACTTTTGAAAAAGAATGCGATACCTCTCCACATTCTCATAGGCAGCATCCAAGTAGGGAGGTACACTTTCGGCCCACAGGCTGGATAATCAGGGGATTCCTGTTCATCAAACTGAGGATGTTTGCGCCACAAAATCTGAAAAGGCCCAGAAAATGATCTCCTTAAACTATTTCAATATGTTTCTCTCCAGTATCATAAACCCGGTGGACAATGACATGAGACGGCAGTCTGCTCACCTTCTATGATTAGACATACAGGTAATTGAACAGTATGTACCAGTCTTTAAAAACAGGACCTCTTGTTTTTTTGTAATTCGTCACAGCATCAAGGACAAACTGGACACATTTGCCGGTGTCGGAGGAGGTTTTTTGGAGACAGTGAAGCAAAATTGGACTGATACGTCCTGCAGGCGACAGAGGTAAACAATTTTGAGGGCCTTTATGACAGAAACATAAGAATGTATGCAGCTCAACAAATTTCTTTGCACAATAAAGTCAAACAAAGTGCCTAACAAGTGGCAAGAACAGAATATATCATGACGACTACCCTGCCATTCCCAAAGGCAGGGCCATTTCCAGACCTTTTTGACAATTGTGGCACTAGTGGCACTATGAGGGATGGCATGAGTATGTGTCTCAGCTCTCCAGTCATTCCCCAATGTAGCCATTTTTAACACTGTTATGGACCCATTGCCAAAAATTCAATACATCAAAATAACACATTCTACCATAATCTTCTTACCAACATTACACCAAATTTTGCCCAAAACAGCAGGAATTAGCATACAAGTGTGCATGTCTTTAAAGGGTAGACTCATGGGTACCCA